TTGTGTCCTTCCATGTTCATATTGCTGCAGATATCTCGTTTCTTGGCAAGTTGTACCTGCCTTTCACCTGTAACACACCTATGACCTGGCCTGCCTCCCTGGTTGCTCCCATCACGATAGGTTCGGTTGGCCATTGCGTGATCCATATTGTGGTTGACCACAAGTTCGAGGTGCAGTACCTAAACTTTGCTACCAAATGGGTGGCTGTCGAGTTTGCCAAACGGGCATGGAAATGTGAAAGGGGGGAATTGATATCTCTGCTAAATGGCAGCGAAGGTGTTAAAGGGCTACCTCTTTGAGGCAGTCATGCATGCTGCACTGGCGACTGGCGGCAAGTTCGATGTGTTGCCATTGGACCCGAAGACTCTGGAGCGGGGCAAGGAGGAGAAGCTGGATATCCCGGAATGCAAGCAGTATAACATCTTCACAGACAATGAGGTCCATGGTATGATGAGCACTAAGATGGACACATACTTGAGGCCCAAGTCCTCCAACTTCCCCGTCATTGATGCTCTTATGGTGCTGGCAATGTACCTTTTCCAGATGACTGTGTCGGCTATGAAGGAAATTAATGCTGATGACCTCGAAGACGTGTTCAAGCGACTCGGCATCTCTGCTCCGGGCCAGGAGGGCCGCCAACCCAGCCTTTACTTTGTGGTGGATCCTAGCATCTACAACAAGTTTAAGGTGCGGGCAGGAACGAAGAAGAGGAAGGCCTGTGAGGAGCGAGAGGCTGCCTGGCCGCCCGACCCCAAAAAGCATGAGCGGTCAGCCAACACCCGGTTGTATATTCTGCGTGGCTGTAGCAGTTGCTCACCTGGCGGGTCGACTGGATAAGCGGAAGCGTGGTGTTGGCTGTCCTCGCCGGAGTAGGAATAAGTCCAACCCAGCGGCAAGCACTAGCGTACATAGACATGTATGANACAATCAGAGACGGCGGCAGTGGAGTCTTGAACTCCGAACACCTAGTAGATGTGATACGTCAGTGTCTGGCCAGAGCACCCCGCCCGGGTAGCTTATATCTCGGCCTACCTGCCGGA